TAACAATCCAACTTTCACCATCTGCCATGGTGACTTGGAGCCTATGCCCCAGAGCCTGGGGCTCCGGACTCCTTATCCAGTGACATTACTATGCTGTCACTGCCCTTACATCTATAAACTCTACACCTTGTTATCTCAGATTCTCCAGCATCTGCAGTTCCTGCTATCTCTGAACCAGTTTTTGTTTTACGACCTGTTACACTTATCAAGGCCAAGAGAGGGAGCTAAATGCTCATTCTTAAATCAATACTGTGAGAATTGCAACCTTTCATCTTTAATTTGTATCATCCCTTGCATAAATAGGCAAGCACATCTGCAATCAATCCTGCTCAACCACGAATGAATAAGAGTTATAGTTCGCACTGCTCATACTGGGTTTTTCTTGTAGATATTTAACTGGCTACAAGGGTGATTACTGGTGGTGGTAAGAAGTCTTGAGAAAACATTAAAAAAATTCACAGTGATTTAGTGGTGGGAAAGTCACCGGGTTGTGTGTGATAGCACTTCTGTGTAGAAGAAAAAGGCATGAATAAAGTTTCTGCTTCCGGACCTGGCCATGCTGGCTATAAACAGGTCTAGGCAGAGAGCCGTGGAGGGGGACATACCTGCCCCTCTTCTGTGATTACGTTTGTGCCCGGGTATCCTTGCAGAAGGAGAATGTGGTGTCCATCAATGCTCTCGACGCCTTTAGAGAGCGAGAGAGAGGTGGGCATCGCGGTGGGGGTACAGTACTTTACTTCACCCACCAACTCCATTTTGATTTAGACCCTTCCCTCTCTCCCTAACCCCCATCATTTCTGATGGTTTGCATTGTCTGCAGTGGGCTTTCCATGTAAATATTGAATTGGCCACACTGATGTTTTTATGCGTGGTGGATAGCAATTAAAGAAAAATGCAAAAGAAAATTCACAGTGATTTTGGTGGTGGGAAGGTCGCTCAGTTGTGTGTGATAACACTTACTGGGTAGAAGAAAAAAGCAAAGTGGATCCAGTGGTACACTAATAGTGCCCCTACCTCTGAGCTGTGGAGGCCCATTACATTTGCATCGACCCTCCAAAGAGCAGCCCACCCTTATGCACCCACCCCCATTTCCATATTTCCCATGGCTAATCCACCTAACCTGCATGTCTCTGGACACTACGGGGCAAATTAGCATGGTCAATCCACCTAACCTGCATGTCCCTGGACA